GGTCTACCTAGATCAGTGGTTCTCAACCTGTGGGTCGGGACCCCTTTGGGGGGTTCGAACGACCCTTTCACGGGGTCGCCTAAGACCATCGGAAAACACATATTTTTGATGGTCTTAGGAACCGAGACACCAATTTTATGGTTGGGGGTCACCACAACATGAGGAACTGTATTAAAGGGTCGCGGCATTGGGAAGGTTGAGAACCACTGCCCTAAGGGATGGAACTTTGATACAGAGCTTACTAAGATGGGTTGTCTGCTGTCATCTCTCTGGGGTTCCCTGACTGGCAGAAGGGGCCCAAGGTATTTCTTTGTCTAGAGTTATGCTATATGTTTCAGTATTCCTATATATTCCTTCATTGTCTCATGATATGTGATTATGTTATTTCTTTATACTGCTTTGGAATAAATCTTTAAGTATCCAAACTCTTGTCAAAACCCACTGTGCTGGAAACAGAGCAATACAATCAGGCACACAGTTAATTAACTTTCCTTGGATTTGTTATAGGAATACCTAAAAGCTGTCAGTTGTCTCATTTATCATAGTCAACTACCCTAGAAAAAATATGAAGAATAGGTGAAAAAATTGAACTAGAATTCATTACCAAACTTGGCCAGTACCAAGCACATGCTCTAAACACTGATTAGCTATAGTAACCAAGCCACACCTATTTCTGTTTGTCTAGCTTGTCTGTTTGTCAGTGTAACATTGTACTAATCTTGTGGTTCATATGCAATTCTAGGAAAAATGACCAGGGCGCTATATTTTTAAAATGATGACTTTTGACTGTATGTTACCAGAACTAGTTGGGAGATTTGGCTGAGTTAGTGACTGAGGTTGTGGAAACAGGACTTGAAAATCTTCAAAAATAGGGAATATCAAAACATAGGCAGCATGGTTAAAATTGTTTACCTTAATCTTTCTGGACTTGTTTTTATTCATTTTTTTGCTCCTCACTTCGTTGTTCATGAGGAGCATCCAAGCATTCCGGGAATCAGAGCTATGAATCTTTTGTGGAGTTTTTTCCTTTGCATAAGAAGAAAAAAGTTAAAATAAGAAAAAAATTAAAGCAACTATACAGGTTGATCACAAAATGTAGACAACCTGGGAAAACAACAATATCTCAAAAAGCACTAAGAATTATCAATAGCTTTGCAACCTGTTGTTCCAGATATGAGTCAGAAAATTATTTGCCATCTGGGCTAGTTTTCCTAAAGTATTACTACTCATATTTGTTGGAATATAATGCTTCAACATTTCTAACCAGTTGGTCATGCTGGCTGACAATTGTGGAAACTGTAATTTAGCAAACTAGTACTCACTAAATTGGGGAAGACTGATATGAACTGTCTGTTTATATTACTGCTTCCCATTATTCAAAAAAAGAATTTGCGAGTTCTTGTCATAAGAATGATTGATCAGATTGGGTTTTGCACTGTTTTGTCTCTCAAAACATACATACAACTGGATACTTCTACATCGCCACAATGCAGAAAAGATGTGGAGATTCTAGAAAGAGTGCGGAGAAGAGCAACAAAGATGATTAGGGGACTGGAGACTAAAACATATGAGGAACGGTTGCAGGAACTGGGTATGTCTAGTTCAATGAAAGAAGGACTAGGAGAGACATGATAGTAGTGTTCTAATATCTCAGGGGTTGCTACAAAGAAGAAGTAATCAAAGTATTCTCCAAGGCACCTGAGGCAATGGGTAGAAACTAATCAAGGAGAGAAGCAACTTAGAACTGAGGAGAAATTTCCTGACAGTTAGTACAATTAATCAGTAGAACAGCTTGCCTCCAGAAGTTGTGAATGCCTCAAAACTGGAAGTCTTTAAGAAGATGTTGGATAACCATTTGACTGAAACAGTATAGGGTTTCCTGCCTAGGCAGGGGGTTGGACTAGAAGACCTCCAAGGTCCCTTGCAACTCTGCTATTGTATTGTACTGTACTGTACTGTATTGTAAAACTTTCCATCTACATTTTAACTGATTTTTTCCTATTTTCTTGTTAATAGGTTGTCTAAATTATTCCTGATGAATGCATCAGATAAATATAGATTCAGTGAGGTTCTTTAAACCACCTTATCTTTTATAATTCTCAGAATGACTTACTATTGATATAAAACTTTCCCTCTTGGAAGAAGAAGAGCAGGAGTAGGAGAAAGGTACAGGAAGAAGGAAGGGAAAGGAGAGGAGGAAGGAAGAAAGTAGAGAAGGGAAAGAGGGAGAAAAGAAAGGGAAAATAAGGTGGTGTTACAACAGGAGGAAGGGATGGTAAACAAAGCAACCCAAACTGTATATTATAACCTATTAAATGAAATAATAAATGTATAAGAATGATAAATGTTAAAACACCTGTAACCAAACGACATGCTGTATGTGATGATGGTTTTTGTGTGTGTGTGTGTGTGTGTGTTTTATTGTTGTGTGTATGTGTTGTCTATGTAATAAAAATAAAAAAAATATATAAAAAAACCTTTCCCTCTTAATTTCTTTTTTCCTCAAACATACTCACATTTCCAGATCCATAAACTCTAAGTGTTGTAATCAGGAAAGAATGACTCCAATTTTCTCATAGCCAGAAAAAATTACATCAAGTATTTTCTAGATTTGAGTTGAGTTTGAAGTCTGGTGATTTCAGATTACTGCCACATAGCTTTCTTGGTAACAGCAAGAGCTGTTCCTCTGTAACTTCTAGTTACAACTAATAATATCTAGACAAGACAAGACAGGCACAAAACTGCTTTTTTCCCCAACGATTTTCAATGCAACTCTGAAGAGTTAATAAAAAGATCCCATCATACTCAATATAATTTATCTCCAAATAAATATGTATAAATTCCTACAAGAATAAATACAGCTATGACAAGATAGATTAAAAGGCATAATTTTATATGCAACTTGTTTAACATCTAGAAGCAAAATCCATTTTGATAATTGAGCACTGTTTTGTTTTCTCTAATGTACTATCCTAATATTATTTCTATGTCATATCCATTGTAAGGAATTTTTCACCAAGGAAGAATTTTCAATTTTTACTAAGAGGTGAAGTTAGGAGTTAGTAAGAAGGAAGTAGCATATGAAATGTTCTTACTGAGTCCTGGGATGATGGCAAGGGAAGACTGCTCGTTTCATTCCATCGGAGTGCCTTTTCCTGGTCCCTTCTGTCTTCCTGTTTCTCATTTTCCACAGTGCTGGCACAAAAAAACATTGCTAGTAGACTCATAGCCAATAATTGAAGTGGGCAGCCAGAAAGGAAAGGCCTAGCTATATTATGGCACATAATTGATTCCTTGATTTATACAGACAACTAGAATTAGATATGGCTGGGAACTTCTCAAGAACACAAAGACAAAGTTAATCTCTGGTCTTTCAAAAAAAAAAAAAGGATACAGTATTCTGTATACCTGTGAAAATTCCACAAAGGAATACTAACTGCAAGCGGAAGTTATCCAATGTATCTTCAATTTATTTTTTCACAGAAGACTTGTCCAAGAATATCAACATTTTTCTTTTAAAAAAAAGCTTGTAAAAAAGTAAGGTTTAAAAAAAATGTAACTGTGTGAGTACATACACACACCAATTGCACCTGATCATTAGATTAGAAAGAGCATTTCAGTTTCTTCTTCAGGGTCAAAGATGGTTAAGAGGTTTTCATAGGACTACTTCAAAAGCAGCTAAGTAGCAAAAAAATCAGGAGTTTCAGGTTGCCCTAAAAGAAATGAGCTCATCCAGATGGTACAGAAGCTTTTTGCTCTTTTTCTCCTGGCTTCTCAGTCAGAGCATAGATAAAACTGTATCAAAACCACAGAAGTCCCATGATGGTTGCATTCACCGCTTTAGCTGCCTTGGAGTGCTTGGCCCAACTTCTTTTCAGTGCTCTCTTTCAAACCAGGGACTCGTATGCTTGTCTGATCACATCCCTACTGCCACTCTGCTCCTGTCTGAATATCTTTGCCCAGCTTCCCTTCTTTTAATAAGCTTGAATTCCCCGCCTCACCAGAAAGGTCACTTGGCCTAGAGAGCCACCTCTTGGCATTAGGAACAAATTACAAAAGCAGAATTCATGCGGAAGCTCATCAGCATCTGGTAGCAGCAGAACAAAGAGATAAGTTTGCACTAAAAGTGGTACTATAAAATTTCAGTGGCTTGCAGGTTAACATGAAATGCAGATGGTTGTAGTGGCTTTGTTTCTACCTTGTAGAGAATTTACTTAGGTCAGGATTGAGAGAAAGGGGACTTAATCTGGACGACCTGGAGGTTGAAAAGATTCTAGGGCATCACACTTCCCATACTGCAATTCTTTGGACACATCTTAATGCTGTTTTGTTTTGAATCTAAAATCTATATTTCACGTGTAGCGTTATAATTAAAATAATTGTCTTATTTCTTAAACTTTTTCAATCCTAACTCATTTATCATGTAATACATTCAAGAAAATAAAAAAATGGAACCATCCAACAAGAAACACAGGTGCAGATAAAAACTATAACAAAAGTAGTAATAACAAAACAATGGGGATACAATAAAAGTCATTCCACATTACAGAAGATTGTAATATGTTTTTTCTGTTACTTTTATTTCAGAAATATTACATTTTTCATTTTAATCACAAGTTTAGTTCACTTAAAGAATTGAATGGAAGATAATTTTTCCATTTGATCATCCAACCTGGACAATCCTTTGGATAGATTTAGTAAAAAGACTGAAGATGAACTTGTATGAGATAGAATGGAGACTATCAAGGGAGAGTCTGTGAACATTTGCATAATGTGGACATTTGCATAATTTCAGGAAATGCTTTTCATTCTAATACTCCATTTAATATGGTTCAAGTGCCTTCTCTGAGACTTTTCTAAGGAATACAGTGGGAAAGAGAAAGGCAGTCATAGCTTATATGGTTCCTTTTGGGAGTCAAAATAAAAATGGCAAAAAGGATTTTGAATTTTTTAGAATTATAATCTCTAAACATTTGGGCCAGTGGCCATATTATGCAGGAGCAGAAATCCCTTTCTTCAACTACAGAAGCTTCTATGTCTCTTGCCTCCCAGTCAAGTCAGAATTCCAGTTTTACTAAAAGTATTAAAAATGATTGTTAGGATCTGTCCATGGGTCTGTCAAAGGAGGATTAGAATATACATAGCCTTCCCATTCCTCAGAAAATTCAAAGGGACCTTCCCCATGGGGCTTTAGTGTTGATCTGATACACCATTCTTCATGGGAAGCCATTTGAGCACAGCCAGACAACCACTTTAAAAGGCTCGCCCTCATCTTCATTGGTATAACCATGCCCTGATTTTATCAGATTGTTGTCTTCATCTAATTCCCCACTCACAATTAGGACAATTTAGTAATCTTTAGTTGTTCCAATTTTCCGTCTTCTCCCAACACAATTTATGCTCTGGGCACAATCTAGCATACTTCATCAACAATGTGGTCAGAAAGAGCATGTCACCTCTGCTCCAACCCTTGTCTTTCTGGACTTGTTGAATTAGGTTGCCATAGAGATCATAGCTGCTAAATTTGGAGATCTCTAGTAGATTTCACAAGTGACTGCATTATTTGCTAAATAATCAGGATGAATCTGGTAGCATCTTTTCCAGAAGCACACTTTAGTGATCAATCTGATGAAACAAAATTTTGTGGTCCAAGTTTGATGAAATAAGCTGCAGCTCACAAAAGCTTATTGCTTTAAAAAAAAACATTAGTTGGAAAACGTTCTGTCCTCTGTACAATATCAACAAATGTGATCTTAATGCAAAAACCTTGATTTTCTCTGGTCATATTAACAGCTTGCCACAGTTTCTTGTCTCTCAGTGTCTCATGATAGCCCAGCCTCTAAGCTTAATGCTCCCCCCCCCCAATTCTCTCACACTCACTCATTACTCTTATGCACAGAGATTCCACACTGCAACTCACAACCTTGATTGCAGCTGTTAGGAAAAACTGAAAAATTACAGTATTGTGTCATCATGACAGTTTTAAATGAAAATTCATATGCAGGAATAATGAAGTCTTGATTACAATGCAGCTTTATCCTCATACCAATGGTTTATATATTTTTTCAGTTCATAGCATGAACTGAAAACCCTGGGGGAAGGAAAATGCTTTTAATACTGCAGGAGTTACCATAATTTAGGGATGAGGCACCAATTGAATGGCTGGATTCCCTTTCCTTCTTTTCTTGGTTCAATGAAGGAAGCACCAATTGGCTCTTGGTGTTCCATTTTCTCATCATCCCGAGATCAGGAGGAATGAGTATGAACTTACGACTGCCTTCAAAATGCCCTGGATCAATTAAAGAATTAAGGTGTTAACAGTGTAGTAGCACTCATTTGATTTCTATTTATACAACAATGACTCAGATTTAAGGAGATGTTCTAAGAATTCTATACATAATTTCATTCACATTAGCCCAGATATAATAGAAATAGTTAAAAAGCAGAAAACAAGGGAAATCTACTCTTTTCCTTTTTGCGCTACACTTTGGGATGCATTTTATTTCCTGCTGCATAAACAACATGATCATTGTTGGTTTGATTCTCAGTTGTTGGTTATAAAATTGCTTACTCTGCCCACCACCAGGCTAGTCCCACCAGTTTCAGGACTTCGATAAAGGCCTTTCTTGCTTCCCAAGGCTATTCTTATTAGTTTTCTTAGTAAAGAAGAAAAGCAGAGTCTCCCAGATAAAACTGGAAAGAGTAATAGGACGCTTATGCAGTAGGCAGGCCACACTACACCACATAAATTAGCAGAAAGTGTAAAACACTACTTATGGTGATAGGTTGCCTTTATAATGGGTTGGGACAGATTGAAGATGATATGGTACATTCTGGTTAATGAGATGTTCTACACAAGACTGTTAGAACATGTGCATGTGCCTATAATTTCAGGTGTTACAGGCTGGCTGAATCACTCAGGAATACAGCTGAGCTTTCCAGTATCTCCCTCAATTATTCAGCCATCCTGTATTTTCTTTTGTAATTCCGAATATTTCACATCATATCTACCAAAAGAACATTCAAAGAAAGGAGGAAAAAGAAGAGATACAGAAATTCCTGTGTTGGTTTTCCTCATTTTGGGTCACTCTTGATATGTTTGAATAAGAGTTCCAAGACTTATGCTGGCTGGTTATTCTGAAGATTGTAATTCAAGTTATTTGAGGAAACCAGTTTAAAAAAAAAACTGCACTTGTTCTTATATTCTGAGAATTAAGTTTGGCTGTGTGAGAAATTATTGAAAAAAAACTTTCTTGCTCATATTACCTTTAACACAGTACTTATTAATATATACAATATACATGCCATATGGCAAATGAGAGACCCAGAAATCAAAGAAGGATAAAGAAATCCACAAAATTTCAGATAAGGCTTTGGATAAGAAAAGAAGGACGTTTGAAATATTTACTAGTCCCACCAGTCTGATTTCCACACTGTGTATCAGCTGTATCATATCAATCTATAGATTTGCCAAGTGAAGTATATTTGGCTGATGCCTTCTCACCTTCAGGAACAGAAACTGGTAACAGAAATCCTACAAAAAGCTATAAGTGCAGAGCTATACCAAAGTCTGGCTCTTCCCCTCATTTTTCCTTCATGCGTAAGTGAAATCTTAAGTTCCATTCTTGAGCTCTCACGTCATTGTCTTGGCCTACAGTTCCCAGAAGAATGAGGTAACCAAGCTGTTCACTCTCCCTTTCTCCTTCTATTTTCCTTGACCATCCAAATGATGTCATGGGAATGAAAATTTCATGTAGTCCTCAAAACAAAAGTCAATGCATATTAGAGCATGCAATGCTTTCAATTTAGTTCTCCAAAGGTGTTTCTGAGGATTTCATTAAAGCAGCTACTGTGTGTCCCACAAACAGATGCAACTGACTTCATGAATTGCAGCCACATGCTGTGTTGTGTGCTTCCCTGTATGCCAAAGGAATGTTTTGGAATCAAATACAAAGTGTTGTACATCCCCTGTACCTTCCTTTATGACTACAATATTCAACATACAACAATTAGGTTAAAATATGTAAATCAGTGCTACTCAGCTTGGTGTTACACTATAGGAAATATAGGATGGCAGATTAATATTTTAGGAACTTTAACTTAAACAATGGTCACAACATAGATTATTATTATAGATATAAATTTCATAAAATAGCTAGACCAAGAGCACATTAAAATTTAAAATAAAAATTGTACAACCCCTCCCCAGTCACATTGAGTTTGGATTCATTTTTTATTTATATTTAAAAGAATTCTGAGATTCTTTACAAGCTCACAATAATATAAGAAATTACAGAGAACTATTTAGATACATTATTAATGGACTATAAATATTCATCTACCCTTATTAATGGATTATAGATATTAAAAACTGTCTAGATTATTTTCCAAGATGAAAGAACAGAAATACATTTTTAAAGTTACCATTCAAATTGCACAATAATCTTACAAAATTGAATAATCAGTCTGCCTATTGTTGTTCTTTATCATGAATAGACTATCAGAATATTTTCCTCATAATTGTTAGTAAAGATCATATCTAATTGTAAAAATAATTATCCAACTGTGGCAAAAATAAGCTTATGATTTATATACCATAGCATCACTTCTCAGAAACATGTTTATGCCTAGTAAAAAAAATCACAGAAACATTACAAAAATTAAGATGGTGAGTACCATTGATATTTTTTTTTCATCCATTCAATTGTATTTTGATTCTCAAAGACTGTCTGGACAAGTCCTTGAAGTTTTCTTGGCAAGGTTTTCCATTGCCTTCTTCTTATGGATAAAAAAACCCCTGGTTTTGTGACTAAGGCAGGACTAGAATTCACAATCTCCCAGTTTTTAGGTGATACCTTAACCACTACACTAACCTAGCTCTTAATAAATAAATATGAAATCTTAATTCATAAATTAAAGTTTGCTGTGTGAGCCGTAGAACAC